GGTTACTTGACACCTAAATTGTCAGTCTGGTTTCCCAAGATTCTTGGTACTTTAGAGTGAACAGAGGCATAAATTAATCCCTCTGTTGTTTTATGTCACAGGCAGTGGAGAGGCACTGGCATTTTATGATACATTTCATTAGGGCCAGGATAATGCCAGACACTGACATTCAAAAAATAGAAAGAACACTTTCATCTTGGCATGAATGGCATTTTGGGAAAGTTATTTTCTTTGCAAGAGAGAAGCCATCAGGTGAACCAACTGACACTTCTGTCACAGACCTCAAAACCAAAAATTCAGCTTTGTCAATAAGAACAGTTGTTTGGATGAACTAATTTGTGGTATATTTGAAAATATGATCAAACAAGGGTTAAGAAACAGATATGACAGTGGAAAGTAGAGATATTTGCCAGACTTGTAGAAAATACACATCCATAAATTCCAGTTTTAGTGTGGTTTGGAGAGAACTCCTAAACATCTGTGCAAAAATCTGCATCTAGACCTATAAAATGAATCAACATCAGTGGCCAGATTTGCCTACAACAAATATGGAGTCGTAACTTGCTATGAAATTTCCGGTCCAAAAGACGAATTGCTATATATACACCCTAACAGCAACCATTTTACTAGAGAGTGGTTACAAGAGAGATGTAAAAACAAGATATATCTATAAACACGGAAAATCCAAGATCTGATTTTTGAAAGAATTGACAGACTTGATCACTGAAGGTCTGGATTTGTCTCAGAGATTTGTGGATATGAACAGTGCTAAAGACAAAGGAGAAACCTGGTTTCTTTCCACTAAACTTTGTCTTTTCATCAGGAGGTCTACCAAGACATCGCTGTAAAATTTAACTTTATCGTTTGTGGATGAGGATATTTATGTTTAGGAAATACAGGGGGTTTTCCCCCCTCAGTTGTACCTCAACACCAGGTACAGTAGCAAAGATTCTTCAGCAATAGGAAAATTGTATATAAAGCAGGTTTATCAGTCATTCAATTTTAAATTAAAAATATAAAAAAAAAAAAAAAAAAAAAAAAAAAAATCCTGCATTAATCAGCAGCAAGTAGAGCAGCAAGTAATGAGCCAGAAGCACTTAAGGCAAATGAAGACATTTAGAATTCAGTACACTGAAGATCTCATTTAAAAAAACCTAAATCTCAAAAAATCAGCACTGTCTAACCAGATAACTTTGAGGGATAAGAATTACTCTCCTCAATACTGTCTTATCTGTCTCAGAAGCAACAGATGCTTCAGAAGTTGTTACCTGCTAAATGGAAAATTACAGACCAGATGGAGCTAATTAATTTGCAATTTAAAAATTGCCACAAACCAAATAATATAATTAATTTTCTGCAAGATATGGTTACGCAAAAGATTGGTCTGCCACTTCTAAGGCGTCCAAAACATTCAAAACAGTTATATAAACTGATGGATGCTGTGGAGCTGGATAAGCACCTCCAAATTCCAACGTGTAGCAAACGGGTGGGGAATTGCAAACCTGGACAATAAACTTTCAAAAAGCTCTGAAACGTGGTGTTAATCTGGCAGGTTTTTTTATCTCAGTTGAAACATCTGCTTGGAAAGAAAACTAAAAAAATATAGAAGTTTGTCTTTGCAAAGCTACAAACCAAGTTATAAAATTATTTTTCCAATTTGGAAGGTGCATTGCTACAACTTATTTGTTTTTCCAACTCAGAATGTGTATTTCTACAAGTTATGTGAAGCTGTGAACCATGCAGGAACCTGTGTTTACCTGAAAGATTCCTGTTTCTCTTGCTTAGTCTTCTCGGTATATTAAAAACTCTTTCTTGCTGTAGACATGCACAGCAAACAGTCAAGTGACTAGAGAACAGGACTCAACCTCCCAAAGTCATTAACAAACCTAGACCTCTTTTGAGGTTTTTTTTTGTATGTGTGTATAAGTGTGCATATGTATATGTGTATGCATGCATATATATAAATAAAAGTTTCAGGATCAAACCTTGCTGTATAGCTTTAAAATATCTTTAATCCCTTGATTTTTGCTCAGTTTGGATATTTTCCATACAGAAAAAAAAATTGGTCATGTCTGTGAAGCCATGTAAAATCCTGCTAGCTAAACCCTGCGGGATAGAGAGACGAAATACTTCAGCTATCTCCTAAGAACAATATGGTCAGGACTTTTTTACCCTTTATTCAACAGCATCATCATTTCCTTAACATGAAACAAATAAGGGAGCATCTCCAGTCAGGTAACGTACTTCACACTTGCAGAGGCCTCCTATAGAAGGGAGGCAGAAATACAAAATTGCTACCGCTTCTCTCACCACTTTTTTTGCACAGCTGTGGCAGCCGCTTCACGCAGTGTGCCCTGCTACTTTGTGGGCACTGGCAAGTCACAGCGTCACACCAGGGCTCTCCGGGCACTTTTGGGAGCTGGGGAAAATCAAAAACCTCCCCAGAGACTGATCACAAGGCACAACACATATTAAGTGCCTCTAACAGAATAAAGGAAGAGATGTGCAAGGCTAAATTGGAAACTCTTCAACTTCACTAGACTTTTTATTATTATTATTATTATTATTATTATTATTATTATTATTATTATTATTATTATTATTATTATTATTATTTAAACATTTCCACAGAAATCAATGCAAAAACCTCTGGATATCATACAAAGTGGGAGATAATTGGACTAGAAACAAACCAAACCAAACCAAATCAAAACAAAACAAAACTAACAACCCTAAATTAGCAGAACTTCCTGAATTAGAGAAGCAAAATTTGTAAAACAGCTGTCACACATTCTTAAAGCTATAAGAACCAGATCTTAGCAAAATTTGGAATAAATGAAGGTATGACCACACTGTTATCTGTTTTATTTTCTTATATAAATTTAAATAACTTCATAGATAATTCAATTGCTTTCCAGTTCTCTCCTGGATAGTAGTATGATGAGAGCCTTGTAAGTGCATAAATGCTCATGTAAGAAACCCTTTGAAACTGCAGCATGTAACACTCCATGTTCCTGTATTTGCAATTTATTTTGTACTTTTCATGGCACATGGCACCACACAGTGCCCAAGAATTCCATGTTCTGCTGCTTCAGGAGGTTACAGACTGACCCTACTGAAGGGAAAGATGGTCACTCTACTGTCCTGCATCCTTTGTCACGTTCCTGAGAAACCCAGTAAAAACCCTTCACCTTAATCTTCATTTTCTTTAGCATCTTTGAGAAAGTGAGATTTTGAGTTAGTGAGCTTCTATCTCACTAAATCCTGACCACAGACTGTGGTCTAACAACACTCTCAATTTTCTTGGGAGACATTTTGCAAGGGTGGAAAAAGACCTGACCCAGAGATTTGTATGCAAAATCATTATTTTGTAAGTCTTCCCCTAGAAGAGGTACTTGGAGGGCTTTTCAAGCACTTCAGTTCACATAACCATACAGGGAAACGGCGAGAAATAGCTAAGAGAAGATTTAAAGTACTAGGGGTGGCAGGATCTTAGAATCACAGTAAAACTAGGCATAAAGATGTCTCAAATGAAATTTCCCAAATCTGAAATGTTTAGACTTAGTGACTGCTTTAGAAAACGCCACTGTGTCTGAAGTCCTGTCCCACTACCTGATCCTTTTATGAAATAATAAAGAGAATATCTGTGTCACAGTGCCATGTTCATCCACTCAAATGCAGTCTAAATAGATGGGAATTAGTTAAAGTGGAACAAGAAAAACCTCTGCAAATTTTCTTGTGCTCTTTCTGCCTATTCAGAAGCATTTTTTTTAATGTGATGTTTTCAAGAACATTTAAAAAATATTAATCATTACTTTAGTCTTATAAATCAGTTACTGTAGCTATTAATTTTCTTATTTAAGAAAAAAGAAAACAAAAAACCACCATAAAGCTTATTTCCAGGTGTTATCCAGCGAATTCAAGGACTAATCTCAAACAGAAAGTGATTATTAAGTATTAAAATAAATAGAAATATTGACATTCATTTTAATTATATACGTTTCTTCTCCCACTTCAAGGTTGTGGGGGTTTTGTTCCATTTAATCCCCTCAGTATATTCTGAATTAATATATTAAAAATTGAATGAAAGACAATACACTCAGTAACTTGATACAGGTAGGATGTTCGTCTTACTAAGCTCTCTTGCATTCCTGTAGCTCAATAACAATACAACAACTTGAAAACTTTGAATGGACCTAAATAGCCAGCAAGGACTGGAGCAATTAGTTTCTGCCAGGTACCATAATGGGACATATGTACTGATATATACAGGAACCACCTGTAATAGTTCTGAGGACAAACATGGGCCATGTTCATGACAGCTAAACTTCATAAATGGGCCTATCAGATTTTACACTCAGAACCATTAAGTCCAAACAAATAAATTGTTTTGTTTGAGGAGTAAAACTGTTCTGAGTGTAGCTTGATCAGACGTGACAAGAGCTAAAGCAGCAGCTTGTGACAAAATCAGACCTGTTCTAATACACCCATCTCTGACCTTCAAAACTCCATTCTGCAAGAAAAAGGGAATATTCTGGTCTCAGTCATATTCACAGAATCATAGAATACCAGATTGGAAGGGACCTCAAGGATCATCTGTTCTAACCTTTCTTGGCAAAAGCACAGTCTAGACAAGATGACCCAAAGCCCTGTCCAGCTAATCCTAAGTGTCCAGTGTTGGGGGATCCACCACTTCCTTGGGGAGATTATTCCAGTGAATGATTGTTCTCATTGTGAAAAACCT